ATATCTCTTTCTGAGTATGTAGCACCATACAAGGATATCATTGTATGGTGCTACCGCAAACCTCCATACTTAAAATTTGTCTGTTCTCGTACTTTTATTTTATCCTTAGAAATATCCTGCGACCAAACAGTATGGGTAAAAAGGTGCTGGCTAGGCCTGTTTTTCAAAACATCATGGATCACGTCATCAACAAAGGATGCCAGCCATGCTGACTTTTATAGGAGAAATGATTTATGACTAGTTTTTCTGCAGGAAGAGGGCCTACAATAACTCTGAAAATCAACATGCAAAGTCCAACAGGGCCTTTGAGTCTCAAGACAGTTTAGTCCCTGACATCGCTGAATTATTATCTAGTTTCTACTTTGCTTTCTCTCCTTTCTTTGCTGAATGGTTTTATTCCAGGGGGATTGTCACACAAAAATCGCCCAAAATGAACGAAACTGGAACCATTGTATGGCAGCTTCTACTCTGTCTGATGTGTGACTACGTCATTACCTTCTTGTGCCAAATCAAGGGTGTTAAATCTCTAGGCAAGGTAAACATTCATTTCGTGAGCCTAAAGTCATCCTAAACGATTGTTTACATTTTCAATAGAGTGGAAGAGGGAAAGGGAGAGTTTTCTGTTTCTTAAAAATCTATGGATAGCAGTCTGCGTAATTTTTACCTGAAGGCATGAATATTACAGAGCACTAAAAAAATAACTGATAACTTATTGGGATCCTGTCGTTTTGGTATTTATGCTTTTCTAGGTCGTCTATTTCACTGCTACATTCCCTTACGTAGTACTGATTATCCTATTGATTCGAGGCCTGACGTTGCCGGGGTCTGATAAAGGAGTCTACTTCTTCATCACCCCGCGATGGGAGTACCTCGTTAAGCCTAAGGTACAAGTGAAACCTTTTATTGTATTGGGGTTTTTCCTTTACTGAATGAATCTTCACTGGTTGGAAGAATTTCTTTTTCAAAAGAGTGAATTGAGGGACAAGGATTTGCAGTTGATAACAAATGGAGAAAGGGTGACTATAATCAGCAACCTTGGAGTAACGTAATGGAAGCCATCTTTTGTTTTTGTTTTTTTGCTATATGATGCAAGATATGCGGCAAAGGGGACCCCCTCCATTGTGTATTCTTTTGCGTTGATGGAATTTTTGGAATTTCTTTCAGATTTTTTCAAATTGAAATCGGAACGGCAAGCCCTTTAGCTCAACAGGGTATGCCGCACTATCGGTGTTCCAAACGAAGTGGCACGACGCTGCTTTATTTACGTTCGATGTTTAGCGCAACTGCTGTCCCATTGCCGCGCTATTGCCACATTCATAGTTCGACACGGCAGTGGCACGACGTGTAGTCTTGTATGTAGTCACCTTGACATGCTTATAGTATTGTCTATAGTCTATTGTACAATTCTGATCCCAGTAGTCAGATATTATTTTAGCATGAATATTAATGACCTCAACACGGGGATTTCAAAAGACAGAACTCACAAAGAAAGGACAGCGGAGACAAAGGTTAACTTAATGTAAAATTAAATTGATCTTTCGAAAATCAGAAAACGCAACAAAAGTATTCTAAATGTATTTACACAGGACAAATTATACAGTCATAAATGTATTGAAATAATAAAAGGGATACTGGTATCCAACTGAAATGTATTGAGGGGTGTTGCGATGGGAGCCTGGTACAGTCACCGCGGGAGATGGTGGTCATCCACGCTGACCGTCATGGTCTTCACCCATTTTGTAAACACTGCCTTAAAGTCATAATAATACTGTATATTCACGATTTTGATGAATGTTTTCGACCACTCCCACATGTTTACACTTTTTACTGACAAGTGCAACATGAGAAGCGAACTGAAATGGATTTCTTAAGCGCGAAATTTAAAGCTAAACTGAGCTGCTCCTATTTTGTGTTTTTGACGAGGTAAGATTTACAGATGAATATTCTCTATGACCTAGAGTTTTCCTAGCCTAAAACAACACATAATATCACAAAACAACTCTTCATCTTACAAACCCCCATCTGTGCAAACCTCAAGGTTTTCGAAAAATGTAGACTTTACATGGGTGATGTTTTCAGCCTGAACCGCCATTTCGGTAGCCCGCGTAAGCGCAGTACCGGTGCCAGACTACATGTACATGTACATCACGCGCGGGCGATCTACCCGACACTGCATACCCGTCTGACTAGAAAAAAAAGCGGGGTGACAAGCACTTTAACTCGATATTCTTTGGTAAATTATGAACTCCCCGCAGTGCAAAATAACCTCCACTTTCTGCTATATAAACAGGTTGGGTGGGGTATTGTCAAAACTTTTAAACGACTGGTATTTTAAAAAACATACTCAGAGGTTGATAACTGAAATAGTCCTCTTTTCAGATTACATGCACTTTCAAAAACTACATAACATGTGGATCACTTTTACTTGAAAGGATTTTAAAGAAAATTTGAAATTGTTTTCTTACACTGAAACT